ATATATATATATATATATATATATATATACTCACACACACACACACACTCACATATATACAATGATATAATCTAATGTAAAAGGAGTACAAAAAACATACCGTGTCGTCCAAAGGTTGACCACTGTAATTCAAAGTGTGAAACCATTCTTTCTTGACAATATGATGATCTCTAAAGACATAAGGCTCAATCAAATCCTTTCCCTTTTTGTAGATCGCACCCACACTTAAAAAATAAAATATAAAACTTAAATATCAAAGAAAAATTAAATTAAAAAATAATATAATTTATGCTAGATATTAAAAATTAGCTTGCTTGGGTTTTTTATACGTCCCCGTATCAACAAATTGCTCAAAAGCCCAACGCAAAGCAATATCAGGTTCAACCCCGATGTCAATAGTAAAAGGATGCTTAAGGTTAAAATATTGCTTAGGCACTAGTGTCGCAGAACTGCAATCTCCTGAATCAAGTGGCATATATGGAGACTTCTCATATTTTCCAATACGTCTTACTCTTGTGGATTGTTTTGGCATTGGTTTCATTTACCACCTCAACAGCTTTTTGAACAGCAGTTTGTTCAAGTATAGCAATCTGAGACTCGCTTGGAATCGGATAATCACCACCATCAAACGTAGGCAAATTTTTCCGATATTCAGCCACACTTTCCAACCGGTCTAGTTAAAAAAATCATAAAAGATATTAAAATAAGTTTACTTGTTGATTGTATAAACATGTATAATTATTAATAAAATAAAACATGACTCCAAATATACCATGAAGAACATTGGTATCTCCCTGGTTGACTTGGCTTATTATATTCATTTGGGTAGTTTCATGCACATGAATAACTTCATCAGTAACGTGGTCATGATTGTTATTAGGAGAATCGATGTCTACATTACCTTGCTTGTCAGCCATTCCATCACTCTGTTACACATTTAGTGAATATAATGATTTCATAAATTATATACATAACAATATGAATGGTTGAAATTTTAAGTTTTGAAATAAAATTGTTCTTTTTTAGATTAGAATACCTTTGCATCACTCTTCTCAGTGAATCTGTTATGAAGATTTTTGTTTTCATCAAATAATTTAGCAAAAGAATCCATCACATACTCCTTGAATAAACAAAAATCCTTGTTAAGCTGAACACAATTAGCACAAATTAGTAAAAAATGTCTTTTTATAAGAAAAGAGAATGAAGGTTCACAAAATAATTAATATAAAGAACTCTTACCTTTTCAAAATCATTCTCAACATTCTCATCGGGCCTTTGATCGTAATTATGTGCGGGTATATTACCATTAAATACTTTCTCGAATGACTCTATCACAAACTTTTTGAAAGACTCATATTCCCTTCTTAGCTTAACAGAGTTTAAAAGTAAAAAATTTTATTACTAAAATATTCACTGTATTTCAACAAATGTAATTTGAAAACAAACATACCTTTTCAAAATCACTTATACTATATTTTCCCTCCAAAAAGCTTTCATCATTTGAGGCATTGCTATTTATATTTCGTAGCTGCTGCTTGTTGCTCCTTTTGAAAGGCGGCGTTATGTAACCAGATTCATTGACACTAAGTTGACAAACATCCTCAGAAACAACACCTTTTTGTGCAGCAAATTCAACATTTATGGGCAAATATAATGCCCCTAACTCATCCACGGTTGCAGAAATATTTGTAAATACCAACTACAATAAACAAAAAGATAACAATTTATGATGCTAATTACATGTATATCAAGCATCATAAGTTGAATAGTATTATGCATAGAACTATGAATCGTTCTATTTTAGTGGAACTATAAAAATATAACAATTACTTTACCATAACAGAATACTTTAAAATACTTAAGAATTTAACAATGTTACCTTGTTCCTTGATTCTCCCAACATGCCGTTGCATAATTTCTCAAAGCTAGGCCTTTTTGTAACATTCCAATTTAGTATCCGTGGCACTCGGCTTGCAACACGGGTGGCAATATTAGGGTCTACTTCAGAACAACACTCATAAATCCAAATATGCAATGCAAGTGGTAAACCCCCAGACCTATGAAACTTCTTTACAAATCTGAACTTATTTCTCACAGAACCAATCAAAGCTTTAAATACAATTTTTCCCCATGGAAACTGCTCGTATTCCCCACTCTCTATCAAAAAAAAATCTCGATTACTTTCAAAGGATCTTTTACTAATTGTGGAAAATAAGAAGGTGTATATGAAGTACAATAACGAAATCTTTAGAGCATCATTATCTGACTGCCATCTTTTTTCCATAAAACAATCAATAAGATCATCCTTTGATACTCTATCACGATCGGGAAAGTAGGCTTCCTTGAGCCTATTTGATCCACTATAAGTTCCCTCATCATTGACTTCACCAACACACCTTAAACCAGATATAATTGCAAATTCTCTAATCCCAAAACACAGGGTACTATGATTGATCTTGACGTAAAACTCATCCTCACTATCTTGAACCAACTCCCTAGACATTAAGAACCGTATAACTTGATTCTGTACAACAACAGGAGGCAAATCGAGGAAATAGCCAAAACAAGTTTTCCTAAACATTTGAATCTGCTCATCCGTCAATTTCAACTTTAACTCATCAACAACCCCAATATTGGTATGTGAGCTCCAATGAGAACAAGATAATTTTGCATCCAATGCGACATAGTAATCCCATTTCTACATTAAAAAAAATATTAATTATACTAAGCCATATATGAACAATGAATATCATTAAATTTTCCTAAACTATACATCTTCAGAAGAATAGTTCTATACATTTTCATCAATCTCACAGCTGATGCATGTTAAAAGAATTAATATAAAAGAAAATATACTAATACTAAATAAAAAAGGTTCAAGTGAGATAAAATACGAGATCCTAAAGATTGGAAATCATCAGATCTGTGTCTGCACTGAGTTACAATTTATTTGTTACTAATCAGACTACTTTTTTTTTGACAAATAATTATTTATTTACTTTTTATTTCTTGTTACCACAACAATCTATTGTCTCGGTTCCCAAATAGAAGCTACTTTTTTTTAACAACGCTCTATAACTACTATGTTACAACACTAGATCCTCCCAGATTTCTCCATGTGAAGCTGACATAACAGCATAGTCGAAGAATAAGTAGTATTCTTTTACCACATATATTTAGCATAGAAGCAGTGAGTTGGAGACGACAAATATTTAGTTCAAAGCCATTACCACTTTTCCATAGCATCAAATAAAAAAAATGAATGCTTATAGCTAATGTAAACTATAAATCGGATAAAATACATTAAATAAATTGAGATTAAAAATACCTTCACAGGAAGTTTATCAAATTGAACTTCCTCCGTGCTAGCACGCTTTCTCTTTTTGGGTTTAATAGCAATATTTTGTTGCATAGCAGATGCATTTTCGATTTTTTTTCCTTTGTCTTTTGTATGCAATGCTTCAACCCGTTTTTCCCTTCGATTGTCCTTTCGAACGACTATTGCATGTGAGGATTTGCACCTCTTCAACACCGTTTCTTCAAAGTCAGAGTCATAATCAACATGAAGAGATGAAAATTTGACCACATTTGATTTAGATTTTGATTTCTTACCATATGAATTTTTACCCATTTGTCAACTTGGCAAGAATGAGAATATCTTCAAATTTCTACAATGGGACTTGATTTAAAAAAAGAGTTAAGAAAATTTTTAAGTAGACATAGTACAGAGTACTAATCGGATAAAAATGGAGAGAATTGGGGTATTTGAAAATTTTGAAATTTGGGGAAGATAGAGAAGAAAAGCGTAAAAGAAGGAGAAAGGGGAGGAGTGAGGGGAAAATGCTGAAGCACGATAAGTTGGCTATGCTATGCTAATTAAAACAAATAAAAATTTAAACTAGGGCTATAGGGTGCCAATATCTAAAACTAAGGCTTTTTAATGCTAATTTTCTTAATAGGTTGTTATACCATGCCATTTTGACTTTATAATATTAATGTAAAAGAACAGTTACCCAACAGAAGAGCCCAATAAGAAGCCTCTATGAAGCCCAAAGGCCAAGGTGGAAGAGCCTGCTTGGCGTTTGTTATCAAAAAGTGTTACAAGTAGAATATTTTTGATTATTTTTCAACCAAACATTATTTAGTGACCCTATAAGTAAGAAAAAACTACTCCGATATAAAATTATGCAAAATTAATAATTCCTGATAGACTTAAAACTCTTTAAACTCTGTGCAAAACGTTTTAATTTTTCAATTCGACATAAGTCTGCCACAACTTTTTAAACTCGAACGTGTGGCAAATGTAAAATAATATTTTGACCTTATTTGAAATGAAGAGGAAAATGGGGGGAAAGTGGGGTAATTCGTGGGCAGATAGTGGCCATAACCGCCTTTAACCGTCACTATCTCAAGGAAAGATAAAATCAGCATAGAATTTGCAGACATAAAACATCAAACAGTTAAGGATTCTTGTGGAGTTAAATATGGAAGGAAGAAGATCATCAACTTCGTCTTCGTATAATCGTAGTCGTTATCAGTTTGAACATAATGAGGATGAAATAAAGAAAGGACCATGGAAAGCAGAAGAAGATCAAGTGTTGTTAAATCATGTGAAGAAATATGGTCCAAGAGATTGGAGCTCCATTCGATCCAAAGGTCTTTTGCAACGTACTGGAAAATCTTGTCGTCTTCGTTGGGTCAATAAACTTCGACCCAACTTAAAGAAGTAATATCTTATAATTACTCAGCCTTTGGTTTTTTCTTTGTCAAGTTTTTTTAAGGTGGTAGTAGGCAGTGACGGGTCTAAAATGTTATATGAAATGTTAAATATATATTTCAGAACCGACATTAATTTTAATCTATAAATCCGTCACGCTCCAATTCTGAATCCGCTACTGGGAACATAGGGTTTGTTACTTTATTACATTGCATTTAATGCAGTTTAAGAGAGGTTTTTGGTTTTGTTTCTTCTTCTCTTTTTTTTTCTACTAAGATTTGCAAAATCTGAGAATTTTTTATGGAATTTTGTAATATGTTGAAGACTGTTGTTGGTTGTTTTAATCAATTCTCTTAAACATTTGATAGTTCTGATGATTCTGCTTGCATGCGCTATGTTGGCTTCTTATACCTATTAAATATATATATATATATATATAAACGATTTCTGCCAAGTGGAATTGTAGTTGATCAGGTGTCGTCGGATTTAGAAATTTAAATGCGAACACATTGCACTTTGAAAATTATGACTTCAGTTTCTAATATTTGTTGAAATTATTCATTGAATTCTTTGTCTTTTTCTTTTCTTTCACTTTTTGGTGAAAAGTGGAGTGAAGTTTTCAGCGGAGGAGGAGAGGACAGTGATTGAACTTCAGGCACAATTTGGGAACAAATGGGCAAGAATTGCAACATATTTGCCGGGGAGAACTGACAATGATGTTAAGAATTTTTGGAGTAGTCGCCAAAAGAGATTGGCTAGGATTTTACGAACATCAGCACCACAACCTGCAAAGCCACAGAACAACGACAACAACAAAAACAACGATAGCCAAAATGATGTTTTTCAAGATTCTCCTCCAATAGAGGTAACTGCAAATAAATTTTATTCCATGTAACTTTGACCATTTTCCGATTTGTGCATGTCATCCTTGTGAAAGGGCATGCTACACGTATTTTTAATGTAGACATCGTATAACCCCTATATATAGACATCGTATTATATTTTTAATGTATTTTACTAACATGTTACTTGACTTGTTTTTCTAACGAATCTCACTTTTTATAAACAGTTACTTGCAATTGTCTTTTAAGTGACTTGATAATGAATTTCTTTTTAGAAGCTGAACTCTATTATAAAGACTTCTTCTACCAAGAATAATTGCTTAATGCCCTTTAATTGTAATCTCTCTTCTTCTCTCAGCTTGAGTATACATGACTTCTTTTTTGGAATTTTCAGGCACCAAAATTCAGCTCATCAACAGATCAAGAAGAATCTTTATCCAAGTCACAATCATGCTCATCTTCCTATTTTGATAACTCTCATAACATGGTCCCATTCCCAGAGCTAGTGAATCCAAATTCCATTGCTTTTGAATCAAACCTGCTTCAACTTGATTTCACTCCAAATGACTATAAACTTGGAATAGAATCATCACATATTCAAACTGACTTTGGTGTGCCTTTGGAAAATCAAGAATTCAACATGCCTAACTTCATTGATGTGTTTGGACAGTTCAATGGCTCTGAATTAGATAATGTGCAAGTCCCATTTGTAGAAAGATCATGTTGTGACAATATTGTGAAGAGAGAGATTGACAAGCCACTTACTCCGGATAGCTTCATTGATGACTTTCCTTTGGATATGTTTGATCATATTGAACCTCTGCCTAGCCCATCTGAATGGTGATTTAGTCAGAATTTGTTGCTAACTGTAGCTGCTGATTACTATTTAGTTTTCTTTAATTTGTGGAACGACTGCCATGGCAAACCCCATTATTTGTAAAAGAATATTTAATTTAGGATTGAAATGTTTCATTAAAATGTTCATTTGGTGCTTTATCCACTTTCTTATGATGGCCTGATGCAAGATATTGCTTTCGGTTGAAGGGTTTCATTTCATGGAAAATTATTAAAACAAGAGTTAATACCCTAAAATTCCTATAAACTATCACATCTTTGTAAGTTTTCTGCTTAAACTATCTGGTGTCTTCAAGACCCCATAAACTATATTTTCCTTCATAGTGACGTTGTATTTCTGATAACGAGTGTCACATGCTCCAAATTATCATAAAAGATTTCCATGTCGCAATCCACATGTGAGATAATTAATTGGCTTAATCTAAAAATTGACTTAATCAATTTTTTTTAAATAATAATCAAATATTATTAGAGGGATAAATATTCACCCGCTTGAAAAAAAAGAGGGGTAGGGTAAAATCATTTCCATCAATTCTCCTGATCTCTCCTCTCTATAGATGATGGATACTCAATAGCTATTTGCTCCATTAAGCTTCGATGTAACCTTGATTTTCCCCAATAACCCTCTATTGCTCGGTCTTATTTTGTTTCTGTTCGAGATTGGGGGTTTACTAAAAAATCTAGGGTTCATTAGGGTTCTGATTGAGTGAAGAGTATTGGTAAAACTTGTGCTAGTTTGAAGAAGATTGTTATACACAGGTACTACTTTAAAAACTAACTTTATTGTTGCAAAATTAATTTATAAATTTGCTGGGTAACTTTAATTTTATTTCACCAAAAAAATTAGATCTTTTTTTGTGAGTTATTGATTAATGAGTGTTTCTTCTTTCAAACATATTCGGGTAATAAATGAAAGAAAAATAAAACGAGAAAGATTAAAAAATTGATTCACTAATAATAAGCGAAGGAGAATTTTGGATGGAACGGATAGAAAAATGAAGAAGAAAGGTAAAAAAAAAGAGAGGAAGAATAGTGAATAAATAAGGAAGAAAGGTACGGTGGGATATAAAGGTAATTAGGAGAAAATTTAAATTAAAAAAAATTGTAAGTGTATGGGCTAATTAGTTGTTAGATGCTGACAGGTCCGGCCCTTTGGATGGCTTTTTCAGCGCGCTAAATAGCAAGTTATTATATACGGTTTGTCAGAAATATAACGAGAGTATTTTAATATGAAGAAGAATATAGTTTGGGGGAGGGATGATTTGGGGACGCTGAATAGTTTAACCACAAAAGTAACAATAATGTCATAGTTTAGCGAATTTTAAGATATTAACTCTACCAAACAATCTGGAGAACTACGCAATATTGAACGATCCTATAGAAAAAAAATTGATTTTTTTTTTTTTTATTTTGTGAAACGTGTTTGTAAGATTGTAGTTCTTTTTGAAGATTTAAGAGATTTCTTGGCCCATGTGAGATTCTACAGGAGACTTATAAATGATTTTTCTAAAGTGGTGAATCCTTTATGGAAACTCCTCAACAAGGATGCCAAATTTTATTTCAATGATGATTGTATGAGAGCTTTTGAAAGCTCAAGTTGACAACAATTCCTATCATTACATCTCCAAATTACAGTTTGTCATTTGAGATCATGCGTGATACAAGTGATGTAGTGATGAGGACTGTTTTGGGGCAATGTATTAAATTTTTCATCCGGTCTACTATGCTAGTATTACCATAAATAGTGACTAAGTCAATGATACTGTTACGAAGAAGGAGTTACTAGCCATTGTGTTTTGCTACTGAGAAGTTCCGCCCATATTTGATGGGTGCTAAAGTCATTGTGCATACGGATCATGCGACGCTTCACTATCTTATAAGCAAAAAGGAATCAAAAGCTCGGTTGATAAGATGGATGCTTGTATTGCAAGAGTTTGATATTGACATCCAAGACAAGAAGGGAAGTGAAAACCAAGTGGCGGACCACTTATCTCGTTTGGAGGAGGTGGGGAGGTCACATGATGGCCTTAAGATCAATGACTCTTTTCACGACGAGCAACTTTTGATTTCAAGCTCAAGCAACTTAGATTCCAACACATCTCTTATCCAATATTATATCATATCAACATATTTAGAGCTACCGTAAAATATATAATTTTTTGCCACCATGATAGCACTTTCAAAGTCGCAATAAAGCACATTCCTCTCCGAAGTAAAGCCAAGTTTTCCAAAAAGTTTCTTCATTCTGAGCAACTCTTTGCAAGTTTCAACGACGGCCCGCAATAAGCTCAGTTGTAGTACATAAAGGCTAATCATGGCAAGTGAAACCATAACCATTAATTGCGCTATCACCCCACATTACTATATTAGGGAACCATGGGAAATGAAGAAT